CATAGTTATTACTCATAATATCTATGTGGACAAGTTATAAATTTTTAGTAGTAAGAAATGAAAAACATGAATTCTTATGACTTGAAACTTGCTACATAAGTCTTAAGACTGGTGCATGAACCCACCCTAAGTATCATTAGACCTGACTTGAATGATCTTATGCTCTATAGTGAATTTCTTATGTTTGCTGATGATCTGAAGATGTTCAAAGTTATTCATGACTCAGCTAATACTGAATGATTACAGTACAAATTAACTAACTTTGTAAGCTGGTGTGATATAAACTTATCGCAATTGAATATAGACAAATGTCATGCATTTACTTGTGTTGTAGTGTTAGTGCAATGAGAAATAGTTGATGCGGCTGTCTAGAGAACAACAGAGCCGTGTTCCATGGAATATCATATTATTTTCTTAGTTTTTATGGTTTTGTCCCCGTAGAAAAATTCTCACTAGGCCCCTGAATATACATGTTCCTCATCAATATTACTGTATAAGAGAAACCTTTATTTCTGTTGACTCTATCTGCATCAATGATGTCTTTAATGTAGATGACTGATTTACAATTTAAGTTCCTGTCTTGTGAATACTGTGAATTAAAAAGTACAAAAATATGAATGAATTCCTCTTTACCTTCGATATCTCTACCGCTGTTGCCAGGAAAATTTTCCATCACTGGCTCTTGAATATTAGCAAACGGAACTAGAGCCCATTCTGGTGGTATATTAAACTCTATTACATCATCTTTGATTTTTTCTATTTCTACGATATTCAACTTGTTCAAACTATTTTCTACGATGCAATTAGTGATCGATTTGATATCATCCATGGGGCTATAGTCTTCCACGTCTGTAAACGAACCCCCTTTTTTTGTTTTCTTTCTTTTTTTACCCAATAAGTTTGAGGGCCCCGGTGAGCTGTCTCTGTCCCTATCTCTCATTACTGACTTTCGACTTATGTGACCCTGAGGACTCAAGAAGTGGTTGAAAAACGTTCGCCCAGGTAATATATTGCTGAACTTATCCAACTCGTTTATTCTGTTGGGATCAGTTTTGATTTTTTGATGGGAAGACGTTGCCAACGGCACAAAAATAGATTTCTCCAAATTCACCAACTTCTTCAAATAAATTTTGTTGTCTTCACTGGATAATTTAGGAGTAGTCGACGTTTCTTCAAAGAAATCAGTTTCCTCAGAATTTTCCGGTAATGTGTTGGGAGGTGATGAGTTTTGATGATTCGAATCCATCAATACATCGGAAGATTTTTCTTTAACGCCAGTTGGGGACTTTGTTCGGGTTTCTCGACGAATCACATCAGACGTTGCTGGCTCTACAAACGGAATTATGAATTGAAGCGAAATTTAGTGCATATTCATGCCCTCTTAAGGATATATTTTGAATAAGATGTAATGAAGAGTTTTTGGAATTGAACTAACAACTTGAATTCAGAAAAGGTACCACTAAATACTATTCCTCTAATCCAGAAATTACTATACAGGGTGGGCCATCGAAACCTTGACTTGGAGGTTTTGTGTACTAATCTTGCAAATCCTAAAAAACGCTCAGACAGGTTGATTTTCATTGGGAGGGGGACAGTTTTTTTCCTCATTAACAGCGTCGTCACTTCAACCCCGGAGCAGAGGGGTGAACAACCCTTGGAATTTTAATAGGGACCTGGGGGCGAGTCACACATCGTTTGAAAAACCTTGGAATTCTCTAAACAACGGTGTACCTTTTTTTTTTATTTGGACGAACCACATTAAATTTAGAGTTGAAGTTACTTACTTTATTCTCATGCTAGCATATGCTCAAAATGGGCACCTCCAGCTTCCATGCAATAATAGAGATTCTGCTGGAAACGTTCTCGAACATTGTGGAGCATTTCTGGAGTGATTTGTCGACATTCATTTGTGATTCGTTGCCGTAAATCTTCGAGTGATGCAGGAGGAGTACAGTAAATTCTGCTTTTCAAATGACCCCACAGAAAGAAATCTAACGGCGAAAGGTCTGGTGATCGTGGTGGCCATTCGATAGTGCCCCGTGTCCCAATCCAGTGATCCGGAAAAGTCGGATCTAAATACTGCTGAACAGACAGAGCATAGTGCGGAGGAGCCCCAGCTTGTTGAAGTATTAACAGATCCTCCCGATAGTCATTTTCAATAATATCAGTGAGAAGGAGATTAATAGTATCTTCCAGAAGCTCCAGATACATTTGTTCGGTTAAATTGCCTTCTAAAAACAATGGACCAACAATATGGCCACCAAAAATTCCAGGACATACATTTAATTCTTGTGGACGTTGAGTATGCACTTCATGAAAAATGTGAGGATTTGAATCAGCCTAATAGCGACAATTATGGCGATTAACTGTGCAAGCAAATGTTGAAAACAAAATGTGGATTTTCCACCGCTCGTTCACTAATCAGCTCGCAAAATTGCAAGCGTCGATCGAAATAATCTTCATTCAGTTCTTGCGTTAATTTAATCTTATAAGGATGCATTTTGTGGGTTTTTAAAATACGCCGAATGCTAGTTGGTGACTCCTCGGAAACAAATGCTAACTTTCTTGTGCTCAAAGGATGGTCAAGCTCAACAAGGCCCAGAATTGCCACTTGTGTCGCCTCATTTGTTACTGGTGCTTCGATTTGCAGTTTTTTATTTGCTACAGATCCAGTTGCGCGAATTTTGCAATTAAATCGAAAACATACTGCCGCAACACATTCTTCCCATGTTGTTGATTGAACAGTTCAGCGTCTCTCGCAGCACAACATCTATTTCCATAGTACAGTTCAATCAACTCAACCTTCTCTGCATTGTTTCTTTAGCAACAATTTACGGCACTCACTACTAGTAATAATGTAGAAATCACTTTTAACATAAAAATGAGAAATAGAAACAGCATTTTTAACCATTTCTCAATTGTCCTTCTATCAGAGAAAAACTAAAATATTAACAAAAAAGTAGCGTAAGAAACAAATGAAAGAGTTCCAAATACATTCCAACCGAGCAGTGGCGTACAACAATTTGTTGCTATTAACAATATTAAAAAGGTAATTAACAGAAAGAACTCTTTTGAATACGTCCAAATTTAAAAAAATGTACACCATTGTTTAGAGAATTCCAAGATCTTTCAAACAATGTGCGACTTTCCCCCTGTTCCCTATTAAAATTTCAAGGGTTGTTCACCCCTTTGCTCCGGGGTTGAAGTAACGACGCTGTAAATGGGGAAAAAACTGTCCCCCTTCCAATAAAACCTCCATGTCAAGTTTTCGATGGCCCACCCTGTATACGGGCAACTATGTTTCGACTATGTTTTCTCATATTCAGTAATAAATTCCGAACAAGTAGTCTGTAATCAAAATCTTGTGTTTGTGTGTGTATATGTAAGCGTTAAGTGTGTGTGCACCGGTAGCATTAAAAAATGAGCTGAATGTTCAAATTTCCCGGGCTAAGTAATTCGATGAGCAATTTTTTAGGTTAGTACACTCGTCTCGAATATATGTTCACAGTTTCAGCTGTTTAGCATGTTTAGTTTGTTGGTGAGATGCATAAAAAACTGGTATTGAAAACACTTCCTATATTGACAGTGTCATACGGTAATTTTACTCTGTGCACTCACAATTGGCACAAACTTTTCACAGGAGGTCGAAAAGATGTGAATCCGTAATCATGCCTCTGCCACCGTATTCACCAGATTTGGCCCCTTGCGACTTTTTCCTGTTCCCAAGATCGAAGAAACCCGTGAAAGGACGGCGTTTTGCGACGATTGAGGGGATAAAGTTATATCAAAAAGTACATATCAGAACCGTTGAAAATTCATCTTATTTTTTGAACTGACCTCGTAGAGTTAGCGTGTAAATTAAAATGGCTATTCCAGTTTTTCCTCCAGAGAAACGAATGATCATCTGCGTCTGCCTCTTCTTCATTGCGAACTTAATCCCGTTGAACTCGTTTCGGCTCAAGTGAAAGGTTTCGTTGCAAGAAGAAACACGACATTCGAAATAAAAGATGTCAAAATACTATTTGAAAAAAACGTCGATTCCGATAAATGGTGGAAATGTATTGAACATGTTGTGAAAGATGAAGAAAACTGTGGAAATTAGACCATTCAGTTGAGGAAACTGTAGAACCTTTAATCATAATATTCGATGAAAATCCATGGAATTTATCTGATGGTAACGTACCAGAATTTTTGCTTGTACTTAATACCAAATGAGCATACATGTCAATATTTCCGATGAAAATGTTATAACAATAATAATTGTATATAAATAAATTTACACACATCGGATAAGTCTAGGGATATTTTTAAAAATGGCAATAATTTTTTTTTTAGATCACTTTANATATATTTTGCTCAAGTAGAGGTAGTTTTAACACGTATTTTTTTATTTAATACCCCAAAGGACGCCACTGCAGGTAGAAATGAGACCCAAACGCACATAACATGTTTTGTTGGAGACCCGTTTGCCATACAAAAATAGGGTGAACCTGGTAAAGTATTATAAACCGCCGCGCCGTGGCAAATCATGACTAAATCACAAAATTTTGTTTGCACACCTTGTTAGAGCTTTGCATTTATGATAAGCACTCATTACTTTTCACTATTAGGAAACACAGTATACATGTGTTTGTGTATAGCTTCAAAATGAGTATCAATGACTGTACCAGACTGACCGTGAAAGTGTTTTTTTCAAGTAACGGGACCAACTTGAGTCACACTCTAAATCTAATGTTGATCCTTGCAAAAGAAATCTTTACCTTCTATTTTTCTTTCATTTTCAACTGCTAGCGGAAAGCTATTTTCTTCTGGAACCTGATTCGTTACTACCTTCGAGCTCTCACTTTTTTTTTCCAATGTACTGAATACATTCTCTACTATACTATCGCTAATTGATTTGGCGGTTACAAGGTTTTCGCTTGAGGAGTTTTTCAATATTTTCTTCTTGATTTGCGGCACATGAATAGCACTCGAAGGTCCCGGTTCTGAACACCAGTCTATTTCACCCGATTTGTCCACTCTCTCAGCCCTAGGATTCAAAAAGTTATTCATGAAAGTCCGGCCCGGCCTAATTTCGACAATCTTTTGAAATTGGTTACTTTCGTTGATTTCTGGAAAAGTAAATGATTTTTTGTCGACTGTGTTGCTGAAGCGAATCTTTCTATTTTTCGATGTCAAGTCCTCGCAACTGAGAGCCTGTCCAAATGCGTAATTTTGTTCTCTCGAACAAGTTTTTGGGAGGTCGTTACACGAAGAATTTTGATATCCAGCATCCATTACTGTTTGAGACTGATTATTCTGTTCTTCTACATCGCTTTGATTTTCAGGAGGTGATACTTCAGAGGAAATGAGTTCTATAAATGAAATCATACTTTGTTAGAGTCTGTTGTATGATGACATTGAATCGAGACCGGATATCACTCTACCCTATGAATAACATTCTTATCCTATCATTAAAGGTGAAGTTAGATGCGGAGTCAAGCTCCGATATTGACCAGTAACGACTTTGTGCTGTACTCAACACTCTGAGGCCATTTAAATTTGTTGCCCTGTGCATAGGGCCACACTGATGTATCAGTTCTAATGTTGAATTTCTACAGCTGTGAGAAATGATATAATTAGCCAAGTGTTGTGGCTGACACCGCCACTGAATTCCAAAAGAAAACTAAATTGGTTACAGAGGAATTTGCGCACTGGTCTGAGGTGAATCATCTTATTAACAATACAGACAAAATGGTGTTCATAGAGTTTACAAGTCCCCTCAGGCGAACACACAATCTTACAATAAATATTGATGATATTGAAATAAACACATCAGAGTCAGCACGATACTTAGGTATGGAACTAGACTACAAGTTCTCATTTAACAACCAAATAGATCCTATTTGCAAAAAACTAAATAAACTATATTATGCTTTCTATATACTCAAGTCAAATTTTCATAGACCTTACTTGATTAATTTATATTATGCACTGGTATATAGCACCATCAGCTGCAACATCATAGTATGGGGAAGGTCCACAGAAACATCCAGAGTCTTTGGAATACAAAAAAAGTTCATCAGAATGATATATGATTTAGACTACAGAGAATCGTGTAGGAACACCTTCACAAATAACAATATTTTAACATTCACATCTATTTATTTGTATAAATTACTGACGTATACCTTTTTAAATAAAGGAAAACTAAACAAAAACAGTGAGTACCACAGATACGATACGAGAAAGAAAAATGACTTTCACTTACATCCCATACTCAGATCACATCACAAAAAATCACCTCTGTATGCAGGGGCATATTTATTCAACTTATTGCCTGAAAGCATGAAATCGGAAACAAAAATAAAAACTTTTAAACATACACTGAAAAAGTTCTTAATCCAAGGAGCATTTTATACTTTAGACGATTTTATTCAAAAGTGTGGCTGATTCATTTTCATCTATGTAGTATGCATTATATGTACTGTTTTTAATATGTATCCATCCAATATGTTTTAACTTTTATGTGAAATTGACTATTGTTAATGTGTTTGTACTTGTTGTTTGTTTTTTATTTTTTTTTGACATATCTCATGTTGTAAGAACAACCTAAAGAGACAAATATATTATCTATCTATCTATCTATAATTACCTATTTGAAAATGACTTGAACTATGTTATTGATTCAAAACTTTATTCATTGAAGTATCTCTTAATCAACTTTCAACAGAGTCAGTTGCTCAATATATATTTTGCTCAAGTAGAGGAGGATATTCCACAGTAGGAAACGTTTTTATAGCATGAAAGGAAATTCTGAGGTGCATAGCAAATCATTCAAACAGAGAATCATGCAAGGCACTTTTTAAGGAATATGTTATCCTAACTTTAACATCAGTTTATATTCTTGAACTGTGTATGTATTTGTTCAAAAATAAATCAACTTTTACAACAAATCTAAAACTTCATCAACTAGAACCCAGAACCATTTTCATTCGCCCTTAGCTAGGTTCAAAATAATGTCATGTGGACTAGAATACATTGGTTCAAAGATATATAACCACCTTCCACATCATTTAGTGGCTGTGTTAAAGAAATCATTAAAGAATTAATTACTTATGATGCACTGTTTGGAACCTTTGGTATAGTAATGAATATTACCCTTGAAGATGATCACTTGATGAATGAAACAAGTATCGAGGAAATAACTATTTGGTGTTGGGATTAAACTCCAGAATAATTCAAAGAATGGTTCATTTGAAAAATGTTTTCATGCTTTGCAAGAATTCTTTGTATAACTCATATTCATCTCAGTTTTAGAGTATGAGCCTGTCTTCCCCTTTTCTTTTCTTTTTTTAATCTGTATTTTGTATTAACACTTCCTAAACAATTTTATTGTTTGACTGGAAATAAAGAATTATTATTATTATTATTGTTATTCTCTACAGTGAATTTCTTGTGTTTGCTGATGATCTGAAGATGTTCAAAGTTATTCATGACTCAGCTAATACTGAATGATTACAGTACAAATTAACTAACTTTGTAAGCTGGTGTGATATAAACTTATCGCAATTGAATATAGACAAATGTCATGCATTTACTTGTTTCTGAAACATGAATCCTACAAATAGTCCATGAAAAATAAAGCACTCGGAATTGGAAACAACAAATACAATCAAAGATTTAGGAAACACTCTTGACACAAAGATCTCTATTTTTTTAAAATCATATACCGGGTGTCCCACATTTTATGTGACAGGCAATATCTGGTTTGTTGAAGGAGATACACAAAAATGTTTCATACAAAAGTTTTAGGAGTTCATGAGAGCTATATTTTGATATCATTTTTAAATATACAAGGTGTTTGGTGTAGGTGCTACAGACCAAAATTCCATTTTTTAAAATAGAACGCCCTGTATATCATTACATATTCAGATGCTACGTTAAATTCTGATATCATTTCATGTTTGGTTTTTGAAATTCGGTTACGGCGTTGTTGAGTTATTGCACTTTTCCTTAAATATAAAGTTTCAAAAAAACTTATTTACTCGTACACGAATCCAGTCTATATCTTTTATTAAATTGAACTAGACTACTACTGAATACAAACCATTATTCTCACCTCTACGATACGATATC